GTAAGCAACATTTCAAATGCTACAATAAATAAAGTCACATATTACATAAATATACTAAATTACTCACAGCTTATTAAGGACATGGCATCATAACATAACACTTCTCGCGTGTTCCTAAAGGCGCCGAACAATGTGCTCAATACCAAAACTCCCTTTGGGAGGAAATACGTGTCAGCGACATGCCAGAAGGACAACATTTTTTTTTTCAACTTTTGGAATGATCTCATGGTCACTGTCGTTTATGGATCGAAGGTGACGTCACGATCCTAGATGAGGCTGTCAATGCTGTTTTTGTACACCTGAGGAGGGTCTTCAATGTCGGAGTTGCTGTGAGAGAAGACGAGAGACAGCACATGAGCTCACAAAATTCTCTCTATTGATCCGTTTCAAAACAGAAAATGACTATGAACTTTATCGGCAGTCTTACCTGCTCAGCTCAAAGTTGTTTGCTTTCCTCCTCATCCGTCGCATGATCCACATCACCAGAGACAGAGCAGACAAGGAAAGAGCGCCACCTATCGTCGCGCCGGCCGTAATGGCACCCAAGTCAGACGTGGATTCTGCAGAACAGGTTCAAATTGAACGTTAACGACCGACCACCAAATTAAAAAAAAAAATCTTTGAATCGTTTGGCTCCATCTGGTCCACTTTTCTCACACCTTTGCATGTTGGAGGTGCGACGTTCCACTCGCCGAAGTGCGTGCACGCCATGCTGAGCGCACCTTGGAGCTCGAAGCCTTCCTGGCAGCTGAATGTGCAGATTGTATCGTGAGGAAAGGGGTTCGGGGACGGGATTAGGGATGGGGTGCAGTTCATGTGGCCTCTTTTGGGAGCTTCCGGGGCGGGGCATGTGATTGCTACAGGAAGTGAAGCGAAGATGGCATATTAGGGGAAAAAATGGGACTTTTATAACAGTAACATGTACAAATATAAATACATAAATATAGATGAAAACACTTTCTCCGTTCTTTGTATTGATTCAGAAGCAGTTTTAAGTTTTATTGACGATATCCTCTTACCTTCACAACGTGGCATCTCGCTCCACCGTGCGGCCGACGTGCAAGTTACACTTCTCGGCCCCTCCATCCGATAGCCGAGGTCGCAACTGAAGGTGCAGCTGTTGCCGTAGCTGAACTTCGTATCCGGATCGTCTCCACAGCTGACTGTGCCGTTGGTTAAGTGGAGAAGAGCGGGGCACTGGACGGCTGCAGGGCAAGAGAAAAAGAACAACAGGAAATTAGCACTCGAATGCAGGAAGTAAAGTTCGATTGTTTTTTTTGGGGGGGGGGGAGAATTTTCCACGAACCTTCACATGTGGGTGGTGGATGTGACCAGTTTTTGGTGGCAGTGCACCTTAAGGGCTCCGGCTTGCTGAGCTTGTATCCTTCTTCGCAAGAGTACTGGCACAATGAATCAAAGGTGAAGTTGCCATACTTGTCAGTGCAGACAACGCTGCCTTTGGGAGGGAGGGTCAGCTCGCTTTTGTTGCACTGAACCGCTGAAACGAAGCACATCAACGCAATTAGTCATCCATTGCATATTTGCGCTTCACCGTTCACCATTAGACCTGTTTATGTTTCTTTCTTTTTTTTTTTCTACCAATAACTAAATGGATTCTTACCATGCTGACACTTGTCTCCATAGAAGCCTTCGAAGCACTGGCACCTGTGACTGTTTATGGTTTCCACGCATTCTCCGTAGACGCATGAGTCTTTTTGGCAAGCAGCTGGAACAAGAAGAAAGGGATTATAAAGTTGAACATTCACAAACTCTGCACTTTTTTTTTTTTTTTTTTTAATAGATCGCCGTTCCCTCCACTCACCTGTGTAGCACAGAGCCGTCTTCATCTTCTTGCACCTCTCGTCGTTCCATTTCCCGGGCTGCGAGCTCCTCTTGATGTACATCTCCACACAATCCTCACTGTCGCCAAGGATCTTGCCGTTCATGCCGTTGTTGGGCTCCCCCTTCGCCCAATTGGTGGCCTCCGTCGTGAGAGACTTGTTGGTGCCAACCCACGTCCAGGTGCCGTTGATTTTACGGATCCCGATCCAGTAGTAGGTGGCCTTTTTGGGCAGCCACGTGTTGAGATGGCCGATCTCCTCCTGGTTTTGGATGGCCACCATGTCGGTGTAGTGCTCCTGGCACCACGCTCGGGCTTGCTCCCAGTCCATGGTGGTGTTGGAGTAGAAGTAAGACCAGCACTGAACTTGCACGCAAAGCACTGAGGATGGAGATACACAACAATATATTAAAACAATGTTTGCCGACTTTCACGGAGCAAAGGCACCTATTTGACATCGGAATTAACTCTCATGGCTAACTAGCAAACGAAAATGTCAAGATAATAGCAACAGGTAGATAGATACACATTAGACGTGATTTCTAAAGCGCTATATAGATAAAGTTGAGTTGAGTGAATCCAAAATTAGCTGTGGAGTTTGCACCTACTTGAGAAAATAAAAGCCAAGCTGATCCACGAGCTGGACATCTTGGATGGTCTGCTCTGAAGTAATCCACAGAAAAGTTCCTAACAGAGAAAAAAAAAACAATAATAATAATAAATAAAGGTTAGTCAGTCAATTTCCAACATTCTATTGCATTCTCGCTGTCAAGTCCACACTTACCATTTTAAGCGATGTATTTGCAGAAGTAGCTCAGTCTTAAGTGCTTATGTCTCAGTGAGTGAGCAAGATGATTTTGGCTGAAACGTGCTGCCGCGCCGGCTCTTATAGCCCCTCGTCCACGCGGTCCAGTTTTCCGGGAAGCTGTCGTCAGCCTTTCGGTGGAAATTCCCACCCCCTTCAAGCCAATTATGCCCAATCCAAAACATCTCCTGACAAAAATTCCAAAGGGGGTGCGAGGAGTCCCCATTGTCTTTGGCGGAAGCAGATATTGATAATATTAGTTTTCTTCTAATTATCAGAAATGTTTGACCTTTTTATTTTCTGTTTTCATTTTAGAATTTCGATTTTTTTTTTTTAAAGGTCATAGTATTTTAAACGGTTCACAATCATTTTGACCATGTTGATGCAGACCCTGCTAGTGTACACATCAGCTATAAGTGTTATATGATTCATATATGAAAATCATTCAAAATACATAAAAAAAAGAAACCCGAGAAAACCTGAAATCGACCCACTTGCAAATTGATGATGTGGTGAGTTTTTCAGCAAATTGTGCTATTTTTTTTTTCCCTTATTGCTGATTACTTGAAATTTCTCAGTCATTGCTGTGTTATTGTTGAAAGTAATACAAAGCGTGAGTGTATAGAACACGTTGCATAGGACGTAAATAGTTTTCAGGCTGATTTATTCCTGTAAGATGCGCGGAAGGATAGAAGTAATTAAAATGTCGGGGGAAATGCACAGACCAGCACATAGCACTTCAACACACACACACACACACACACACACACACACACACACACACACACACACACACAAAGTGACAAGAAAGGAAATGCCACACAATGCAATGGCTGCCACTACAAAGGCTTTACAGGTATTTTAACAAGGGTCTCGGGATGGAGGAAATGTGAAGCATGGGAGCCAAGGCGCCTGCTGGCTGGCCGCTTGCCTTTCCCGAAGTGACAGTGCATTTCCTTCCTGGCTGACTCCAAAGTTTGCCTGTTGTTGACACCTCTTCACCTCCACCCTTTCCCCTGAAAAAAATCATACTGTTGTTTTATTGGCCCCAGGGAGGATTTCACTTTTTTTTTGTTTTGGCTTTGTTGGAACTTCCGCAACCGATGATTTTAAGCTTTGGATTGGATTGGATACAACTTTATTGTCAAATGTGCTGTATGTGTAACATACAGCACAGATGAAATTTCTTCCCTCTCAAGACAACATAAAACAAGAGTTTTATGTTTGTTCTGTTGTCTTTGTGACTCGTTTAAGTGCACTTCATATCTATCTATCGATCGATCGATCGATCGATTGATCTATCTATCTATCTATCTATCTATCTATCTATCTATCTATCTATCTATCTATCTATCTATCTATCTATCTATCTATCTATCTATCTATCTATCTACCTTTACTTCCACTTTCAGCCAGGTGAGGGCGCCATTTCAAGCGTCAACCTGTTTTTTGAAGCCATAAAAGGGCCTGTCTCTTTAAGACCGGAAATACGACCCAAGGACCTTATAAGGCGTTTGTATTTCCTGAGCCATCTCCTCTGTCGTCGCGACAAAAAGTACCGGTAATCATGTCGGAGTCCCTGGCAGCAGTCCCCGATGTGGAGATTGATCCAGAGGGAACTTTCAAGTACATTTTAGTGAACGTGAAAAACGGTGATGTCAGCAAAAACATTGTTCGCGGTACCAAGAGTGCCGAGTACCACAGTAAGTTGAAGGAAATGTCACAAGCTTTGCACTGACTAGCTCATGTGTCAAAATTGTGTTGTATCTTGGATTTTAAAGTTCACGTTTCAATTCATTTCACGTTGAGTACAGTGAGTGCAAAACAAATTGATCTTTGGTGTGAACAGTGACAGGTTTAACAAAAATAGGAAATAGTGAAGAGAAATGCGACCGTTTTAACAGTTTATGCTACAGAATTACAAATAATGACATTTGATAGTGCTTTGGCTCCATTTGAAGAGCAACATCAAAATTCTGGCACTCTTTCAAAGGCCTCATAAAAGACATTGATCATTCATATCTGGAATTTGACACCTGTGCGCTAGTCCTGGTTTGTTTATCCTTTAGTGTGAAAATGAAAAGTTTAGCAAGTGGTGGGACCTTGGCATCAAGAATGGGCGAAATCTTTTTTTTTAGAAATAATCATGGTGTGCTATGAATTATTTGTAGATCATATTTTTGAGAAAGTCAAGCCAGCCGTGGAGGCCTTGGGCATGGAGTGTCAATGCCTTGGTGGAGGGAAGATAGAGCACAAGAGTCACGAGAAAAAAATAAGGGTGTTCGGAGAGTCCACTGTAAGCCATTTTTCATTCCAAATAACACCTGAATATCAATATTATGCATTAAAAGCCATATTTATATGCTCTTTAGGTCTTTCTTGAATATATTTGCATCTAATGAGAGCTAACACAAGCGCTACAGTATTATTATTAATGCAAAAATCATATTGCATATGCAGCTCTTGTATTTGACCATATCAGCTGTACCTAAAAAGCTCGACCTAATATTGTGACCGGTGAATATACAGACTGTCATGTCACATCTCCTTTTGTGTTTTCAGGGTTTTGGTAAAGCGGACCACTCCATTTCAGTCGAAAAGTTGAAGAGCGTCTTCAGCGACTACGAGATCACCTGGAGTGACGACAAAAAATAATTTCACATTTCTTCACGTTTGCTATCCAGAAGTCAAACTCTGTATTTGTGTTTTTATGTAATAAATGCTTACACAATACATTTCAGTGCAGGTTTTATTATTTATTTATTTTTTTGGGATTTGAGAGATGAGCAAGCATTACTCAGAAATGCAGTGACTCGCCCATACTTTTACTTTTAATTGACTGTAATCACAATCAGAGGCTGAGTGCCAAGCGTAAAGTCCATACAGGAAGGAGTGAGGCATTCAGAATCACAGACATATCCTGCGACTTAGAGGAAGCGTTTCATTTTTTATTCTAATCCCAAAAGGGAAAAACACGTCTTTGCTTCTTATCGCGGTTAAATGTTTACATTTGTGAACTGTGTGAGATAAATGAACTGTGAAAGCTCTTGCTAGAATGACCACCAAAAATGAAAGTCAGGAAATTTGGAGCACTGCGAAAACAAAACAAAACAAAAAACTGACCTTTTGATTTATGCTTGTGGATATTCTTATTCATATTCTTATTCCCGGTCATTTCTTTTATATATCACATCTGCTTTCCAGAATGATGGGAAAGAGTACATGAATACAAACCTTACAGATAATTGTTATGACAATTGTCTTTTTTTTTTTTTTTTTGATGAGTGGTTGCCGTCTTTACCGGTGAGATGGGCCCTTTAGACAAGGTGGAAAGAATTATAAACAGTTCAAAATAGTCAGTTTTAGTACAAAAATTTCAGCAAGGTGGAGAGAATTATGAACAGTTCAAAATTGTCCATTTTAGTCCAAAAACTTCAGGCTTCCGCTAGAATAAAAAAAAAAAAAAGCTTTGCAAAGCGCTTTGTTACAACTGCAGCTGTTGTGAAAGCGCGATATAAATCAAGGTGTATGTCATTGTATTGCCTAAACACTTTAGGATGGTGTCAGTTTGAACCTGTTACTATAATGGAGCGGCCAGTAAGTGTCATCCACAAAAAGAATATTTTTTTTCTTGAGTAGATAATCACCACTACATCCCCTTCCTGGAGTTTTTGCGCATTGAGTTGACTTGCATTCCCAAAGGTGTATGCCAGCGCTTCAACACTGGTGCCATTTTTATCATCACCTTCATTATTTGGTCATGAAATGGAATTGGGGGCCTTCTCACCTTGAACGGAGGACCAACAAAGTATTCTGGTAACACTGCTAATTACGCTGTGACCTTGAAAGGAGAAAAACAAAAGGCTGTCTTCCTTCCAGGTTGCATCCTCAAACTGGAGCCAGTTTCCTGTGAACCACGAAACTTTCCGTTACCCTCAAACAGGCTGCAGCGAGGAAAAGTGCTCAACAGTGAAACTCGGCCCTCTTCTCGGAAATCTTATCTGCTCCATTGTCGTGTCCGTGGGTGGAAGTGTTTTCATACGGACAAGCCCATGAGGGAAATTTCAAGGCTAGGACGATGCAGGAATCTACATCTGTACTGCCACTAGTTCTGTGGGTTACGCGAGTCGAGAAATCCAGCTCAGTGTTAACAGTAAGGCCAATAAATGCCTGACCTTCGTCACTCAATTCAAGTAGTTTCCAGGCGAGCCAACACTCACAGTCGTTTCTCTTTTCACAGCAATACCGAAGATAGCGGGTGCGAGTGACCATGACAACATAGTAAAAATGTCTGCAGAGGTGGGAGCAGAGGTAGTTCTACCTTGTGAGGCCCAGGGGAGTCCGACACCACTTGTCACGTGGAACAGAAATGGTCACCCCATCCCCCCTGTCACAGCAGGGTAAGTGGAAGGTTTTAACATCACTGTGGCAACAGCGTCATGCGTAGTGAAAGACAAAGGTGCTCAGCACGCCTTGAGTCTGCTCTGTACCTGCCATTCATTACTCCTCAAGTTTTTAGCGATGCCCTTTAAAGCGCAGCTTAGCCGAGGAACCAACCGTCTGCAGGGGGCCTGTGTGAAGGCTTGACTTTCTCACCAAATTGAGGTGGAACATCTGGCCCTGCATGGCTCACATTCATGTGTGGTCACAGTGGCTGCAGACAGGCAGGCAGACTCAGTTCACAGGCAAGAGGAGAGACCCTCCGACTAAATAGGTCGAGGGGAGGATGACGAGGGGAGGTGAAAGCCGCAGTGGTGACTCAAATGCCGTATGGCTAGTCTATGCGGCCGGGAAGAAAGGAAATGTGGGTGGTGGTGTGGGGGATGCCAGGAAGAGGGGAAGAAAGCTAACTGACAGGGAAGAGATACAAGCCCCGTCTGCCTGAAGTTGGGAATCCCTGGGGTGCGTTAGCAATAAAACAACATGCTGACTCTTTGCTAGCCCTGCCTGATGAGGATAACATGTCTCTGTGAACAACCCCCACATGGGCTGCAAATGGAGCCACTGCAGATACTATGCAAGCTGTACAGTACTGAAGAGGCCAGCGGGGTGCTGATTGTTGCATCATGTAAATTAGAGGGGTGGCTCTGGTGTTTCAAAACCTGACACTTACCACATTGTATATCAATGTGGGAACTGATGGAGAGGGGATGTCCTGTCCCGTCTGCTTTAGCTTGTCTAACCCTGCAAAGTAACATTTTGCACAAAGCACCGTCGCTCGGCGCCTCAAATGTCACTGCTTTTCTTCACATGACTGGAGGACTTGGGCTAACTGTGATAACATGGAGAAACAAGATATTTTTTGCTTCAAGCTTATTCCCACTGAAATAAACATGTTATTGTTATAGTTCAGTTGCCTAGCAAAAACACTTATCTACCATAACTGGGAGAGGTCTGTTTACACGTCCGTGTGTATTTTGCATTTATACAACTCCGCCTTGATGAATTTCAGACGAACACAAAAACCTTTCAAGTTACCAAGCAGCCTTTCACTCCCTTGAAACATCAAACAGATGGGCATGTTTTAGTCACAAGCATACTTTTTGTTTGTCTCTGACAGGCAAACTAATGGCTAAATTGGCATTAGCGTTTCTCAAGCAGATATCCCAGTGATGTATGTACTTGCATCTAGCACCGCGGTCGGGCCTTTCTTTAAATCAAATCACGCGTGACGCCATCGTGATTGACTTAACACACTGTGTTATTGTATTGATGTTGGCATCTGTGTGACCTTTCCCAAGGTGACTTCATCAACTAAAACTCTGGCTATCCTTTTACACTGTAATTACCTTGGACAATGGTAACAAGTCACAGGGGAGATCACTCGACCCTCGAGGACGCTGCATTTCACTGAGTGGTTTCTCTTTTTTAGACCTTGGATTTCTCACTTAGTCACCACTCGGACAAATTATTTTTTTCAGGGCATCCACATTTTTTTTTTACATTTTAGGGTAACAAATGTTCTTGAAAAAAACAATGGCATTTGAGTAAGAATCTTTGTTTCAAACAATCTTTTTAGTGTCACAAATGTTCTTGCAAAAACAAAGGAATTCGCGCTTTTGTTTTTGTTTTTTTTCTTCCAAACAATATTAGCTTTCTTTCCACCAATATGAATGGATTTTCTCTCACTCTTTAAGTGTTGTGTTTTATTGTGTCATTTCTTTGCTCTTCACCCCTCACCATTCCCCAGGTTCACTGTTTTGCCCTCAGGCTCCCTGAAGATAACTGATGTACGCCTCATTGATAGTAAATTGTACACGTGTACTGCAGAGAACCCAGCCGGCAATGTGTCCTTAAGCTACAATTTACACATCCAAGGTAACTTTGTGGGGTTTTATGATAAAGTCGGAAACAATAACATGTTTGTTGAGAGCACTTTCATGTTGATAGAATTCATGATAACGGCACTTCTCTCTAAACTGTTGACATTATGGATAGATATGATAAAACACGTGTCAAGGTTGTTCTTTTGTCCTTAGCCAAGCCCAGGATTCAGCCCGCACCCCCGCTACTGAAAGCCCTGGTGGGACAAACAGTCACGCTCCCATGTGTGGTCCAGGGGGAGCCGAGCCCAGAGGTCAATTGGTTTCACAATGGTCTTCCTGTTGGGATCAAGGACACGTCACCCTTTAGGATCCAGCACGTCAGCATGGCTGACAAAGGAACTTACCAATGCGTGGCTCGCAACAGCGCTGGACAGGAGACTTTGGAGATCATGCTGGAAATTCTTGGTGAATTCCTGTTCCTTAATACCAGCCTTTTACAGCTCAAGTAAAAAAACAAACAAAAAAACACTCGACTTTTCTTTAAAGTTTGGATTCAGTGTCTACCACATACTACTAATCATAACATAGGGTCAACTAATCCTACTATGTCCATGTTTCTATATGTCCATGTTTCTATCTATCTATCTATCTATCTATCTATCTATCTATCTATCTATCTATCTATCTATCTATCTACCTTTACTTCCACTTTCAGCCAGGTGAGGGCGCCATTTCAAGCGTCAACCTGTTTTTTGAAGCCATAAAAGGGCCTGTCTCTTTAAGACCGGAAATACGACCCAAGGACCTTATAAGGCGTTTGTATTTCCTGAGCCATCTCCTCTGTCGTCGCGACAAAAAGTACCGGTAATCATGTCGGAGTCCCTGGCAGCAGTCCCCGATGTGGAGATTGATCCAGAGGGAACTTTCAAGTACATTTTAGTGAACGTGAAAAACGGTGATGTCAGCAAAAACATTGTTCGCGGTACCAAGAGTGCCGAGTACCACAGTAAGTTGAAGGAAATGTCACAAGCTTTGCACTGACTAGCTCATGTGTCAAAATTGTGTTGTATCTTGGATTTTAAAGTTCACGTTTCAATTCATTTCACGTTGAGTACAGTGAGTGCAAAACAAATTGATCTTTGGTGTGAACAGTGACAGGTTTAACAAAAATAGGAAATAGTGAAGAGAAATGCGACCGTTTTAACAGTTTATGCTACAGAATTACAAATAATGACATTTGATAGTGCTTTGGCTCCATTTGAAGAGCAACATCAAAATTCTGGCACTCTTTCAAAGGCCTCATAAAAGACATTGATCATTCATATCTGGAATTTGACACCTGTGCGCTAGTCCTGGTTTGTTTATCCTTTAGTGTGAAAATGAAAAGTTTAGCAAGTGGTGGGACCTTGGCATCAAGAATGGGCGAAATCTTTTTTTTTAGAAATAATCATGGTGTGCTATGAATTATTTGTAGATCATATTTTTGAGAAAGTCAAGCCAGCCGTGGAGGCCTTGGGCATGGAGTGTCAATGCCTTGGTGGAGGGAAGATAGAGCACAAGAGTCACGAGAAAAAAATAAGGGTGTTCGGAGAGTCCACTGTAAGCCATTTTTCATTCCAAATAACACCTGAATATCAATATTATGCATTAAAAGCCATATTTATATGCTCTTTAGGTCTTTCTTGAATATATTTGCATCTAATGAGAGCTAACACAAGCGCTACAGTATTATTATTAATGCAAAAATCATATTGCATATGCAGCTCTTGTATTTGACCATATCAGCTGTACCTAAAAAGCTCGACCTAATATTGTGACCGGTGAATATACAGACTGTCATGTCACATCTCCTTTTGTGTTTTCAGGGTTTTGGTAAAGCGGACCACTCCATTTCAGTCGAAAAGTTGAAGAGCGTCTTCAGCGACTACGAGATCACCTGGAGTGACGACAAAAAATAATTTCACATTTCTTCACGTTTGCTATCCAGAAGTCAAACTCTGTATTTGTGTTTTTATGTAATAAATGCTTACACAATACATTTCAGTGCAGGTTTTATTATTTATTTATTTTTTTGGGATTTGAGAGATGAGCAAGCATTACTCAGAAATGCAGTGACTCGCCCATACTTTTACTTTTAATTGACTGTAATCACAATCAGAGGCTGAGTGCCAAGCGTAAAGTCCATACAGGAAGGAGTGAGGCATTCAGAATCACAGACATATCCTGCGACTTAGAGGAAGCGTTTCATTTTTTATTCTAATCCCAAAAGGGAAAAACACGTCTTTGCTTCTTATCGCGGTTAAATGTTTACATTTGTGAACTGTGTGAGATAAATGAACTGTGAAAGCTCTTGCTAGAATGACCACCAAAAATGAAAGTCAGGAAATTTGGAGCACTGCGAAAACAAAACAAAACAAAAAACTGACCTTTTGATTTATGCTTGTGGATATTCTTATTCATATTCTTATTCCCGGTCATTTCTTTTATATATCACATCTGCTTTCCAGAATGATGGGAAAGAGTACATGAATACAAACCTTACAGATAATTGTTATGACAATTGTCTTTTTTTTTTTTTTTTTTGATGAGTGGTTGCCGTCTTTACCGGTGAGATGGGCCCTTTAGACAAGGTGGAAAGAATTATAAACAGTTCAAAATAGTCAGTTTTAGTACAAAAATTTCAGCAAGGTGGAGAGAATTATGAACAGTTCAAAATTGTCCATTTTAGTCCAAAAACTTCAGGCTTCCGCTAGAATAAAAAAAAAAAAAAGCTTTGCAAAGCGCTTTGTTACAACTGCAGCTGTTGTGAAAGCGCGATATAAATCAAGGTGTATGTCATTGTATTGCCTAAACACTTTAGGATGGTGTCAGTTTGAACCTGTTACTATAATGGAGCGGCCAGTAAGTGTCATCCACAAAAAGAATATTTTTTTTCTTGAGTAGATAATCACCACTACATCCCCTTCCTGGAGTTTTTGCGCATTGAGTTGACTTGCATTCCCAAAGGTGTATGCCAGCGCTTCAACACTGGTGCCATTTTTATCATCACCTTCATTATTTGGTCATGAAATGGAATTGGGGGCCTTCTCACCTTGAACGGAGGACCAACAAAGTATTCTGGTAACACTGCTAATTACGCTGTGACCTTGAAAGGAGAAAAACAAAAGGCTGTCTTCCTTCCAGGTTGCATCCTCAAACTGGAGCCAGTTTCCTGTGAACCACGAAACTTTCCGTTACCCTCAAACAGGCGGCAGCGAGGAAAAGTGCTCAACAGTGAAACTCGGCCCTCTTCTCGGAAATCTTATCTGCTCCATTGTCGTGTCCGTGGGTGGAAGTGTTTTCATACGGACAAGCCCATGAGGGAAATTTCAAGGCTAGCGAGTTATCAGTTTCTTTTCAATGAAAACGTATGAGTGTGAGGGAGGGATATATCCTTGCCAATCAATCAGTGAGCAAAAATATTGAAAATGGCATCATTAAATCAACTTAAAGTGCATAACATTTAAGATTTGGTGACATGAGAGTCTTGTTTGTTTCTGGGGATTTCACCTCCTGACAAGGAGACTGAAGGGACAAACCCTCAGAAACAATCAAGAACTTAAAAAAAATGTAGTAAAGGCCTGGAGAAGCATTTCAAACGAAGAATGCAAAAGTCCTCTGAAGTCAGTGCGTCGCAGGCTTAATGAAGTTCTTGCGAGTCTTGTTTGTTTCTGGGGATTTCACCTCCTGACGAGGAGACTGAAGGGAGAAACCCTCAGAAACAATCAAGAACTTAAAAAAAAAATGTAGTAAAGGCCTGGAGAAGCATTGCAAACGAAGAATACACAAGTCCTCTGAAGTCAGTGGGTTGCAGGCTTAATGAAGTTCTTGTCACCAAATATCACATTTGATTCACTTTAACTTAATTTATTAATGTCCACTCCAATACTTTTGCTCAGTTGAAAAGTGGGTGGACCTGGGGCCCCCAGCTGAACATTTCAAACGAAGAATGCAAAAGTCCTCTGAAGTCAGTGCGTCGCAGGCTTAATGAAGTTCTTGCCACCAAATATCACATTTGATTCACTTTAACTTAATTTATTAATGTCCATTCCAATACTTTTGCTCAGTTGAAAAGTGGGTGGATTCAAACAAAAGATGCTCTGTCGTGAGTTGTTAAACACATCTAGATGTAAGTAGCATAAAAATGAAGCTGGACTTTTGAAATTTTGTCTCACATTCATCTTTTGATCGGAATCTGAAATGTCTTGAATTTTTGGCTTGCTGCTTTACACAACATAATTTAGGGCACCTGTTGGGGGAGATGAACACATGAAAATGCATGTGCACCAAAGCCTAGGCCTTGCTGCTTGGACCTGAGGCCCCCAGCTGAAGGGGGTCCTGAGAGACATTGGCCCGTGTCACTGACAAAACAATGGCGCTGCTTTACGTGCTGCAGCATTTGCGGCCGTGTGGCAAGTAACTGCTTGGACCTGAGGCCCCCAGCTGAAGGGGGTCCTGAGAGACATTGGCCCGTGTCACTGACAAAACAATGGCGCCGCTTTACGTGCTGCAGCATTTGCGTGGCAAGTAGAGATTGCTGATACTGTATTGGTACATATCAATGACACAACTGGAAACCTCTGGAGTCACCGCAGTACGTGACTCCATACATACATACCACGTATGTCAGAATTCGGAAATCCCTCTAATGGGACACGATACTAGCAGGCTTGTTGTCAAACACACTGACAGCAAAATAAGAAGATAGTGCAATTATTTATTTTAAGTCACTGTCGAATGAAAATAAATGTCTTTTAAATTGACACACCCCAGAGAAGAGTGTAATTCGTAAACCTGCCTATTTAAAATCATGAAAAAAACAAGTCAGGGTCACTTTCCTCGGCCGACGGCTACAGACACCTGCGGCACACTGCCGGGAAACACTGCATTGATGGTGTGATTGTTTACGCCGCATTTCAACACGCCATTAGAGAAACAATAGCTTTCCCACATACTGAGGCCATCAGCTTCCCCACAGAGACTCCGGATAAAGCTTCGAAATTCCTCAATGCAATGCACTCGTCATTGTTATTGCTTAATGACTATTGCAGCGTAAGCAGATAAATCAAAAAGTGTTTCACTTTGTTGTATTTCGTATGATGCTTTTTTTTTTTTTTGTTGGTGTGTGTTTTTAAATTCAAAGTTTTTCTCCCCTGCAAATCCGGAATAGGAAATTGATAGATAGATGAAATAATATATGCAATACATTCAGTTTTTTTTTAAATTAAGGGTTAATTTCAACAATAGGTGATTTTTTTCGTGAAACGTCATAGCTATAATTTATCACACATGGTAAAATCCATATTGCGTGTCAAATTTATCTCTTGGTCGAACTTATAATAAATAAGTTAATAAAAAATATATATCAAAAACCTGATGTGCTGAAAAAAGTAAAGCCGTTTTTAAATCAGCATCAAAACTACGTTGAGGGACACATGAAGCCATCTCTGATTTAAAAATATGCGCTTATCTAGTGTTATAATTGAAGAATTAGTCAGCACAGACTACAGAAACATTATAAAAAATAGTATTGTTATCGTTTAAAAAAAATGTGTGTCACTGAAGTATAGTAGCTGCAAAAAACGAGCAAAAAAGTGCCCTCAACTCCAGCTGGAAATCTGTCTACGTGGCGTCACATCCGGTTACAGCTCTGACGCGCGAATCATGAAAGCGGCTAACGCCAACTTTTGCGATTGAAAGGAATAAATATGGAGTTGTCACCGTGAGGTGAAAGCATTAAACTGCGTCCGTGAAATAACCGATGCGATACACGAGGATGCCGAAAGCAGTTTGCCGTTAAGTCTGTAAGTACAATGATAACGACGATGCTATGCTAAGGCGCTACGTCAAATTAGCTTAGCCACGTAAATTCCCCCTTTGAAGTCTTGAGTGAAAGTTCACATGTCGTTGGGCAGACTTTACAAAGCTGACTCATGTCTCGAGTGAGTCACTTATTGTTGTTGATCTTGTATCGTTCGGACAGTGTGTCCGATCTCTTCTGGTAGACCGGCGACATCATGTCTCAGACCAACACTCTCCTGGACGAGGTGGTGCAGTGGAACCAGGAAACCTGCCGCCAGCAGCTCAAGGCTGTCCTGCCCAAACTCACCATATCCTCCCCAGTCCTGCTTTGTCACGGAATTGCACATCAAACTGACATTAAAATGAGGAAATATGAAGGTTTATGGCTTTCTGCGTGTTTTGAAAGTACAGAAACCACCACCTATTTCATTTGTTAACGTGGAATATTTCCTCAGCTATTTGCTGAAAATCTCACCGACGGTATTTATGCGTTTTATGCCTTTTACAGTGACCCGTTTTCATAAAAGATAAAAGAAAACATAAGGAAGGAGGAGGGGAAAAAATAGCCCTTGACTAAGATCCCGACCTAAAACAGGCGAGCATGAATACACAACAGACAGTATTTGGATGTTGGGGAGGAGCTCAGTTTAACCTGGGTTGTAAGGGGAAGTTACGGAGAGCTTTCGCTATATGAGATCTACAGGCTAACTTTTAAAAAAAGATTCCAGTGTGATGAAAGTCGATTTGATGTCCACTAGTCGGTGATGACATCATTGATATTTCTTCAGTACAGTACTGTAATAATAATTTTTTTAAAATTTGGAGGAGGGAAAGGTTAAAAATAATCTATATACACTGCTCATGGACAAAGTCATTGCTACAGGAAACCATTGTTCAAGCTTACAGATTTGTGTTGATGACATGCTGTTTCTCTGCTGTGATTTTCTTTAACTGTTCACACACTTTACATCACAAGTCTGAGGGCTGGGATGATCATATACGTAAGTTCCATTTCGTTATTATTTTTTTTTCTTCAATAATTCTGGTTGATCAATTTTATCATTGTGGTTTTTTTTTTTTACCCCCAACTTCCCTATTAGGTGTACTGAAGATAATAACGGACTTGTTCCTCCCTCACATTGCTCTGTTAGATCTGGAAAATGAATGCTTCTCCAAAATTTTACCAAAGGTGAATGGCACACCTTTACCTGTTGTCACTGTATCATTCTAGTGACCTAATTTTGACCATACTTTTTCATATCTCCAGGCGGTGACCATGTTCGACAGCATAATGAAAGAACTTTCAATCCAAGTTGGAAGCTCGTCCAGTCAAAACACTGAAGTGTGCTCCTCACTGAGGAACATTCTGATGGTGGATTACCTCAAACTTGAATTTTCAGTCTCAGTGATTACATGTTCGCTAAAAAAAAGTAATAATAATCTTTCTGCTTTGGTACTCTACCTTGTTTTCAGTCTCTGATGCAGATCATTGATGCAATGTCCGCATGTGTGCGTCACGTCTGCACGTATGATGAGGTCCCGGACGTTATGTCTATCCGCACCTTACTCTCATGCATCCTGAAGGTTCTGCGAGATACTTTTCAGCACTGTAAGGTGAGTCGCTTAAGTTCTACAATGGCTTTGGATAGTTTAGATGCTGCAAAACCGAAATCCATATTAGTAAATTGCATCCGGACAAAAGGGCTAAATGATTTTGCAAAATAATCAAATTCAAAATTTTTTTTTTCTTCTCTATATTGCTGTTGCGATTTAACCTGTAATGGGAATTTGACATCTAAGAGGGCAAAAAAATATATCAGTAACTGTTCGTACTTTTGAATGCTGACCAGTTATTTTGCGGATAAGCAAAGTTGCCTGCTCATGC